CGAGCCAGCTCGCGGGTTACTCTTTTTTTTTTTTTTTTAATACAATGGACTTTACTGATGGATTCTCCACTGATGGACTTCTTTTATTTTTTATTTTTTGGCTTTACATACGTTTTATGGTTATCGTGAGTTAGAGTAATTCAAAAAATCATGATAAATGACTCTTGTGATTCGTGGAGTGGTTTGTGTTTCGTTTAATGTTTTTGGATTTTGTAAACTACTCTACTTGTAGTTGGACTGCAAAATACAATAATTTTATACAGGAAAACAAACCACAAAAATTAAATTTTTTTAGCCAACCCGCTAGCCAATATTTTGAGCTAACCAACCCGCGAGTCAACCCACTAGCATCATTTCGAGCTAACTCGCGAGCTTTTTTTGAGCCAACCCGTGAGCTTTTTTACGAGCCAACCCGCGAGCTGATTATCGAGCCAACCCGCGAGCCAACCCTAACCCGGCTCGGGTCGAGCCGGGTTGGATTTTCTGGCTCGTTTTTTTTTTCGAGCCAACCCGACTCGACCCATTTTTTTCGGGCTAAATGCGGGTTGGGCCGGGTCGAGCCGGGTTGGCCCGTTTTGCCAACCCTATATACAACCAACAATGTTTTTGGCATATCAAAAGAAAAAGAAGAAGAAAGACACCTACCAAAAAAAAAAAAAAAAAGAACGAAAGACAAAATTTAAAGTACCTTATGGACCTGCTTGAACTGCATCACCTAGTGTCCTACAGAACATAGCCTAAAAGCTACATTATGTGTGTATACATGGGCAAAATGCTGATCTTGTGTAGACTGGAATATTTTGTGGTCCTGATCTAGATGACTTCAGTTTTTTTATTAAGATTCTCTCTGATCAGTGACAACGAAAAATCACTACCATGACCGCTTACCCTTCCCTTACACAGTCATATGGCATTCACAAGTCACAACAAACAAGCAAAATCACAACCAAGCTCAAATTTACGTCTGAAATGTACTTTTCAAAATGTTCTGAGCCCAAATTGATTTACGGTGACTCCTAACTCAGAAATATGTCTTAGAACTAAGTTTCGATTACAAGACTCAATTAATGTCTATGACTCCGATTGATTACTGTTTTTTCTTTATGTTTTGGCTTTTTAATTTAAAAAAATATATATATAAAAAATAACTGTTTCGATAACTATCCTATAAAATAGTTTGAAGGAAAAAAAAATTAAAACACAATCAAAGAGACCTATAGTCATTCGTAAGTTTCTTATACCGCTGGGACATATTCATTTGATCGGTTAAAGTTTAAAATAGTTTAAATTTCGTGTTGGAAACGGGTCATAGGAAATAAGTGTGGTATAGGATAAATTTTTATTTATCCAAAAATCTTGATTTTCAAAAATATGATTTTTACATTCAGTTTACAATAATACCCGAAAATTTAAATTTTAGAAAAATTCAGTTTCTCGGGAATCTTCCAAAATTCCGCATACCAAACGCCCCCTAAAGTCATTTATATATGAGAAATTTTTTTCTTATGTTGCAGTAGATAAATTATCTTATATTGGTGAAATAAAATTATAAGAGAGGTCCACAAATGATTGGAGAGAAAAAAAATAAAGGTGGAATCCACTTTTATTATATGTGTGTAGGAAAATGACTTATCTCATGTTAAATGAGATAAATATAACCCTATATATATATATATATGGGGTAAACATTTCTACAGCCACTTTAGATAAGCTTATCTACAGCTACCTTTTATAACTATGTTCTCCCGGGAGAACGTAGTTATAACACCAAAGTTGTTTTTTTTTTTTCTCTCTTCTCATTTACTTTTCAGAACCTGTCTGCTAACGTGGATAGAGAGAAAAAAGCAACTTTAGTATTATAACTATGTTCTCCCGGGAAAACATAGTTATAAAAGGATAGATGTAGATAAGCTTATCTAAAGTGGCTGTAGAAATATTTTTTTCATATAGGGTAAACATTGGTGCTATAATTATGTTTCTCTATCCACGTCAGCAGACAGGTTTTAAAAAGTAAATGAGTAGAGAGAAAAAAAAAACAACGTTGGTGTTATAACTATGTTCTCACGGGAGATCATAGTTATAAAAGGTAGCTGTAAATAAGCTTATCTAAAGTGGCTGTAAAAATATTTATCCCTATATATATAGGGTTTATCATCTATCATTTAACGTGACCACAAAAAGTTTCATACACACACAACATTTTGTGGGGCCCGCAGCAAAAAAAAAAAAAACTTTGGCACGCAAAATGAATTTCAATAACATAACACAATCACTTTTCCTACAACATAACTCTTATAAAATCCATATATATATATATATATATATATATATTCTTCCTCAGTCTTCTTGCCAATTTCAAAAGGAAATCTGTCTGGTTTATGGCTAGCACGATATGAGATCGATTCCTCTTAATTCGGCAGAATTTGTTGCCGAGTCTAAGAAGATTGTATATAATTTTTTAAGCATGGTATGTTATGACTCTTAAATGATCAGAAGCACATTTTATTTTATTTTATTCTTTGATTTCTTTATTTATTTTCCTCATTAGCCAAACAACTAGAAAGTCTCTCCTTTTTCAAATTCTACTCACATAACTTGTACTCAAGATTTTGAAAATAAAATAGCCAATGCTTCTATAGATACAGACGAAGTTGCTTTCTTCCAATATTACTACTGTTGGATGCGAAAGCAGCTTCATTTTAAGGAAAATTTGTTAGGATCTTAATTATGAGAAGACTGCTTACAAAAGCCACTGCAATTTAAAGCTTATCTCCGTAAGAGTAATTAAAACCCAGCCCATAGTCACAAAATTATCATTTTCATAACCCAATTCTATTTCTAGGTCTCCTGCTCCTGTAATGAATTTAGCCACTTTACAATTTGCACTTATCTAGGAAGCACATGCCTACTAAATTGTAATTGGCTGTTTTTTTTTTTTTTTTTTCTGATAATGTAAAAGTCAAGTTAAATCAGATGAATTTCAATACCGACATTTCGTAGTTTATTTGGAATTTTATGTTGGAAATTTGTAAAACTAACATTATTCTAAATTCTTGATTTCTTGTTCACACTAGACGGCTACCAGTATGACACATTTGTGTAGGTTCTGTTCTTCTGGTGGATGGGTGTACCACTTTCTGTCGCTATTAGGACAATAACAAATGAATCAATTGGTCAAATGATTCTTCCCTACAGAAATTTATCAGTGGGGTCTTCATGCTTCATACTAGTGGGGACAAGAACAGGATTTGCAACAATAAAGTTTTGTGTGGTTTTCAGCACCAAACTAAAATGAGAAAGTAGAAACTCAGAGACTATTGTAAAGAGATTCATGTTTGTGAATGATCATATATGGAAAGGATGATATAGGTGGGAAAGAGTTAACATTATCCGTTTGGCAACCTCCTTTGACTGGTGCAATAAACTGAACACTGATGCGTTATTCACTTAGAAAGATCAATACAAATTGGGCTCGGCTTGTGAGGCATGCTAGACAGGCTTATCCATGGGCAAGATGGAATGGGTATGGGCCAATTCTTTTCTTAAAACAAGTTTATTTTCACAAGTATGGAAATATTTTCAGTACATTACATGCATCGAATACTCGGTATATCTTATACCAAATATGAAAAAAAAAATATGTATATATTTATAGGGTTCGTTTTTTCTGCAGTGAATGTAGATAAATTATTTGTATTGAGTCCAAAACGACGTCGTTTTGGGACAAAAATTAAAGTGTTTTTGTAATTTTAATTTATTTCAGGATTATAATAGTCTTTATAATTATAATTTTTTAATATTTCAACACTAAAATGACGTATTTATAGAAATATTTTTCGAATATTTATATTACCCTTGTCTTTATGATTATTTCCTTTTATAGTACTCTGTTTTTTCATATCGGCAAAGGAAATACCTACTTCCTGTGTACACAAAATATGCTCCATAAGTAAACATTGTGACAACCCGAAAATCTTGAATTTTTCCAGAATATATAGTTAATTTCCATAAGCATTTCCAAAACTCCCTGGAATTGAGAGGGAATATGAAGATTGATTCACATGTTTTGTTTGGCTTCTACTCTATGCTATTTGATAGCCAATTTTATACCTTCCGTGCTTTCTATTCAATTTCCACTTATTAGGGGAACTCTACATAAAAAGATAGGTTTATTCTCTTCTTTGGCCTATTTTTTTAAAGGAGGATTATATTGACAAAACACTTTTTTTTACAAACTAAATAATGTTTTACTAGTAAGATTTTACTCTAAAGTATTTTATCGATAAGATATAATATAATTTATAAGAGTTTATAAATATAATCTTCATTTTTTTTATCCTAAACATTTGAAGCTATAAGTTCTTCTTTAAAAAAACAAGACTCCCTATATATATTTTGATTTGGGCTTGGTCCGGTTGCATACCAAAATTTATGTTGTCTTAAATAGTCCAAAATAATAACCGGTCTCTTTAGCTAAATGTCTTCTTTCTCAACCACACTTTTAAACGACACATAATTATCATTGTAAATGGTAGAAAAAGATACATATTAAATATCATTCTTCATTGAAATTGCACAACAAATAATATCATGTATTGTAAGATATAGTTATCTATGCCCCTAAATTAAGCACCTATCTCTGGTTACATTCATAACAATGTACAACTTTAAAGAATATGAAATGAGAGTGGGTAATTTTAACGAGACTTGATTTTCCTTTCTTATTAACAATTGTAATATTGAGTAGATAGAATAAAATAATTGTACACTTCAAAAAATTTAAAAAAAGAAGGAAATTTTTGTTTGATGACTCAATTGTCTTGAATGGGAGTGTTGCAACTGCAAGTGCAAGGTTTCCGTTATTCATTCGCAACCACCATTCCGAACTTGAGGCTCGGACTCACCAAACCGCCAAATATAAATAGACGCGTCGGATTAGCACTCGTTTCTCTCTTTCTCTCTCTCTCTTACTCTGTGACTCGTTACTTATATTTCCATCGATGGAGCCGGAATCGTTCGTCGATAAGATAGAAGAGAAGTTCCACGACCACAACTCCGATTCCGATTCCTATTCAGATTCCGATGATGGCAACAACAACAAGAAAAGCAACAGGCCGCTGCCGCCGGCCAAAGCAAAGGTTTACCGCCTCTTCGGCCGCGACCAGCCCGTCCACAAGGTCTTGGGCGGTGGAAAACGTAACTCCTCTCACTAATGCATCTGCATTTCGCAATTTTTCTAAAATCATTCTGCATTGATTTAAAACTCATCACGCGTGTTCTTTTGATTGGAGAAGTTTCGATTGAAAAGTCTGAATTTCGATGAATGAATCATTGAAGAACGATTGAACATTTAGATGCATAAGGATGAAGTTGTTCTGTAAATCACACTTGATATTAATTTGATCATTTTCGGCGACGCATGAATGTCTATTGTTATTAGATCAGATACCGATGAACGTTTGCTTTATCTTGAATTTGGTTTGTAATTGTATCATCATCATGGTTATAATAATATCAATTCAATCGACGGTTGGTTGGATTGATATTACATTTTGCAAAAAGTTTTTCGGTTGTGTGTCATATTCAACACGAAAAGTTGTATTCTTTGGATCGAAAGCTATGATGGTCTTTGTTGTGCAAAACCGTTGCATAAATGTTTAGTTGTGAAAGGATATGTAAGATGGAAATGAACTCATATTTTAATTAACTGTTCATGTCGGAGAATCCTAACATATAAAAGTGAATTAACTGTGATAATTTTATAATTACTTATCTCCATATTTTTACTCTCTTTTTTTATCACCATTAATGCACTTTTATATAGTTATGATTTTCCAACTTGATATGATCATGTCAACTATATAACACATGAGATTATCCACTCCAATATAGCGTTAAAAATTACAAAGAGCTGCAAAATGATGAAAGGCAGGAATAAAGCCTAGTGACTTTGGTATATTATAATTGACGTAAGAGAGAGGGCTGGGGGTCTTAAAGGCAAGTTATGTTTCACTCTCTTATAGAAGGTTATTTGTGAAACCTTTTGACATTTTGTTTCGATCATTCGAAATTGTTGCTCTGTGGACTTGATGTTAATGAAAACCTTTTTTTATCGTTGGAAGCTGGACACAGCTGAAATGGTTTATGGATTTGGAATTATCTACTGACTTCCTGTAGAACAATTTCCTCCTGATAAATAAAATCTATATTTTTCTGGTTATAAATCCAATTCTTTTACTCAGTATATCATCCTGTTGCCTTACAAATGTTCCCTTGCAGCTGCTGATATTTTCCTTTGGAGGAACAAGAGAAGCTCAGCAATTGCTCTAGGTGCTGGCACTGCCTTGTGGTTTTTCTTTGAGATGATGGAATACCACCTGATCACTCTGGTTTGCCACTTTTTGATTTTTTCTCTGGCGATCCTTTTCTTGTGGTCCAATGCATCTGTCTTTATCCACAAGTAAGCGATTGCAAAATCTTTTGCTGTTTTTTTCCATTGAATTAGGTTGGTGTCTCCCTCAAAAAATAAGGGTGAAAATTTCAGGAATTCACTTTATATGAAAAATTGTATGAAACTCATCCATTAATTTTTCATTCCTGATTTTATGGGAATACCGAATACCGGACCGATTCTAAATATTAAATTATTTTATCTTCTATCTTAATTTATGTACTTTCATGTGTTCTTGACATTTTCTCAACTAGGTCTCCACTGCACATCCCGCTAGTTGCAGTTCCTGAGGAATGCGTTCTCGTGGTTGCTTCTGCTTTGAGAATTGAAATTAACCGAGCCTTCGTTGTTTTACGGGAAATTGGAACTGGGCGAGATTTAAAGAAGTTCCTTAGCGTACGTTGATTTTCCTTATATAAAGCTTTAGTTTCATGATGAAAACTTGTTACTTGGTTCCATAACCATTGGATTCCGATGGATTTCTTTAGATTTAATGCGAAATTGAGGATCAACTGAAATTCATGTCCATTCATATCATATTCAAATTTTCATTTTGCACCATAATTTACATGGTTTAGTGGATACGTTTCTCCTTCATACAGACTTTGTTTTGACAGTAGCAGCAGCAGTAGGACTAAGGTGTTTTTTGTCCTGTTACCAGGTTATTGCTGGATTATGGGTTATCTCGGTTGTTGGGAAATGGTTCAACTTCCTAACCTTGTTTTACTTATGTAAGACTTCATGCATTGCTTCCATTCTTCTGATTGTTACATGTTTTTTTGTTTTATGCTTAAAAGACCTTTTTTATATATGGTATTCTCTTAACACTGAGTCTATTTCGTGCGATATAGTCTACGTATCACTGTTCACATTGCCACTGGTGTATGAGAAGTTTGAAGACCAGGTTGATGCATTAGGTGAGAAGGCAATGATTGAGATCAAGAAGCAATATGCAGTGTTTGATGCTAAGGTTTTGAGTCAGATACCAATAACGGGGTTGAAAAAGGATTAGAATACATCATCTGTCAGGTTACTGTTGACAGTGGGATGACTGTTTTGATCAGATGTCAATTTTCTAAGTCTTTTTCTATTTGTTTTTTGTGTTTTTATTCTTTGGTCAGCCATTAACTAGAAGAATTCCTTACTTGGAAATCGATGACGGAACGAGATTTTTATATATGATGAATTTGACTGAATTAAAATGCCTGTTTCTTATTTGATGGTTTCTACTTTTCATGATTATCATTTCGGGGACATTGAAAATTTGTTTCATGGCACTGTAAAAAAGAATTGAAAAGAAATAACTTCTTTCCGTGTTAGATTGATTTAATTTTTAATTGATTCATTGATAATGCAAAGAGATCTACATAATCAATTAAAATTTTTAATTACAAGTATTTAGTAGGTGAATTTTTTTTAACGAAGTTAATTGAAAAAAAGAAAAGAAAGAAAGAATGCAAAAACCATGTATAGGTTGTAAAAAAAAAAAATCCATTTCATGCATTTAGTCAAAGGAAATATATGAAACAACTTTTACTTGCAACACATGAAAAAGTAGGCAAAATCTACTAAAGAAAAGAGAAAAAAAAAAATGAATCCCACCTATTTTTTATATGTACATAAAATAAATTATCTTATGCAATAAGAGAAATATATTTTTCTTGAATCAATCATATCAATTATATCAATTTGTATGACTTTCACTTTTGAGTAGAGGCATTTTCCTTTGATGGCATAAATTGATATTGAACGACCAATTTCATGTATTCATAAATAAAGGACTAAATTATACTATTTATCTTTAATGCACCAAAATAAATATATATTGAAATATAAAGTATTATACAGTTGCATATCAATTAATAATTGTTAAAAGAAAAAAGAAAATTCCTAGTTTTTTGAAAGTATGAAGATAGGGGCTACCCCCAAGAAACAAGAAATACCACAAGGGCATTAGATACGGGGTCTAAAAATACCCAGCAAATCCTCCCAATACAAATACAAAGAGTTTATCTCATGGGGAATCTGGTGGAACTCATGCATATTCCGTCTCCTCTTCCGTTAGCTTCATTCGCCATCCAATAAAATTTCCTAAAGGCGCTGATATTGATAGACAAGGACAGCAAGATATACATTATAGTTTAAAGAGGAAAAGAAGAAGCAAAAACTCAATGGCTGGGAATAATCATACTTAAATTTTTTTTCCTTATGATTTATGACAAAATTATATCATAAAAAACTGGATGTAATTAAGACTTACACTATGCAAATTAAATATTTAAAAAATCTTTATAAACTTGTAATGGGTAATCTTTTTCTATATAAAACCAAATAAAAACATTAATCACAAAAGCAACATATTTAAAGTCACATAGCGTTCACCAAAGAAAAAAAAGTCACATAGTAAAAATTTGTTAGTTAATTAATTTTTTTTAAAGAACATTAAATGCTTAGTGCCATTTTGTTACCAGTTGCAACTCATGTAAATATGATATCTGACTTAATATAATTTAATACTATTACATGAAACTAGATTTATGTTTCTAAATCCCATGCCGTATGTCCATTAGAAGAGCTTTTAATATTTGTCGCCCTAATTTTTTTTTTATTTTAGAATTTTTTTTTTATTTTAGAATTTTTTTTTTTACTTTATAAAATCAAGTAAATATTAATTATTTTTCTAACTTCATACTTTTTCTTGGGACATTAGAATACTGGGACAAAATTAGCTTTTATTTTAAGAAAATGCACGAAAACAAACTTTGATTAAAAACTACTTTTCAAAGCCTATATCGTCGGAGATACTTCTACTAGAGATGACTTTGGATAAAGGATGGGATGATGATACATCTGCAATCCAATTCCTATTATGCCAATGTGGCAATCAACTCGATTTTTTCTTACTAGAGAAAAGGACACCATCTACTTAATAAGAAAAATAATTTTATTCTGCACGCTACCTGAAATATCTCAAAAGAACAGAATGATCATAATCATAGATTTGCATCAATACAAAAGCTGTCCCCAGTTATTTTCTTATATGCTTGGGATATGCCCATAACCTAGAAACTGGTCCTCCTTCTGAATCACTGTCACTGTCTGAGGAAGATGTTATGTTTACAGAATCATCTAGAAGATATTCCACAACCTGAAATTAGGAGGACTACACAGTAAGTATGAGCTATTAAGTTCAACTGCTTCAGTAAATTATATTGTACAACAGCAGGAGCCAATCAACAATGCAATCTAGTGTGAATAAAAGTAGGCTTTAATCTTCAAATGACTGTAGAAATGAAATCCATATTCCTAAGTATGTACTCAAACAAATTTGAGGAAAGGAAAACTAGTTTCTGGCAATGGGAAAAGTTTTGCAAAACTAAGTTCAAAACTTTGCAATATATCGCGTTCCCATGTGAATCTGTTATACATATAATCCACAAGAACAGAATTTATATTGTTTTACATCAAGTAGAATCCAGACTTAAACCCATAAAAAAACCAACTACAATGTCACTGAGCTCGTAGCACAACTGACACTAGCCCCAGCTTAAATACTGAGGAGTGATGATGATATCAGAGGTTCAATCCTATCCTAGACCAACTATCCCCCTCTCCCCTATCCAGGTGCTTGCACCTCCCAACGAACAAAAAAAAGAAATACTACTATGATAAAAGATCTGAACTGATAAAAAGTAGCGAAATACAGTACAGAACATACCTGGAATGCTGTTACAGGCTTGATATCTTGAATTTCAGATATCATTCCACAATGTACATTGGGGCATTTTGAGTTATTTAGCCAAACTACTGTTTTGCAGTGTCCACAGTATCCCCGATTGGTTGTTAATTTCTTAGATAATGCTCCTATACCAAAATAGACTAATTAAGTCGAGAAGAGAAAATTTGTATGTGCATGTATCCATACACGTTGTTTTTCTCCATATGCGTAAGAGAAAGAGTAACTTCTTTCTGTATTTGCATAAAATTTTAACTGCCAAAACATAACATGAAATACAATACTCCTGACAGTTTCTGAAGCTGTAGTTTGGTTCGTAAAACATTTGACATGCAGAAGAAACTTTTGGTTCCAACTCCACCATGCATCATGAAAATGAAAACAATATTTAAAAAAAAAAAATCCTATCTCGTCGTAGCATTTCAATACAAATCAGATAACAAAATAAAAGTAATGATTAATTAATATGGTATTCACCTAACAGTTTAAGCTTTTGAGTTGACATGGTTTTTGAGATTGTATCAAAGCCTCTATGACCAAGTGATCACGTATTCGATTCTCACTACTCATCATTTTATTAATAAATATTTAAATATTGTGGAGTTTCTTAGTATAGGTAGATGAGCTTATGCATTATTCATCTTTCAAGCCCAATGAACTCTAGTATTAAGGGAAAAACTGTTAATAAGACCTTTGTCTAACAACTTAAGCTTTCGGGTTTAGATAGTTCTTTAAAGCAATCATCATCTCTACATATTGACTTAATTTTGCTAGGAACCTAATGTCCAAACGAAATCAAAGTAAAAGATGATACAGGTATATAAAAGTTTTCCATTCTCATTATAGTATACTTTCATCCCATTAGTTGACTGGGAAAGCATTGGATGTGAGAAGAGAAACCAGGTTAAACTACATTTCCTGATGTGTAAGAAATCAACAGTCGGCTTACCAGTATATGCTCCTTTAACAGCCCCTTTCCAGTCAGTAATGGTTCTAGTATCTTTGGGTTCCTGTAAAAGCCTATCGTTCCTGTCTTCAACCAGTCTCACAGGCTGCTGTTTAGCAGCACTACCATACAATACATCATACTGCAACTCCCACAGATGGTTATCATTTGCAGCTAAGTTCCATGACCTAAAAATGCAATATCCATGAGTCACCATGAATTGATATTGATAATTAACAACATTCATGACATATTTAATGTGCTGGCTGAAGTAGAAAAGTATATGATTAGCGGCTAGCGTTTCACATGCTAAAGGACCACGATTTGGGCTAAAATGATCAGCTGATGCAATCTATATAATTAACATAAAAGAAGGAAAGTATTACCAACAAACTAGCCCCACTGAGACCAAAGATTTCATATCTAGAAAACTGAAAATATGCACAAGAATATCCTGTGGCAGTTGGAATGAACCTGAAATACAGGACAAAGAAACTACTTAAACATGACTTGTTTGCCTTCTACACTGAAATAACACAAAGTCATTTCTTAAATATAATCTAACCTTTTTCTACCTGGTGAGATTTACAGCGCCTTTTATGAGCAACCATTGCATGCTTAAATTCTGTGACAGCCATATTCCTTTTTTGCTTTGGAAGGGCAGCTTCTACACTCTGAAGAAGGAAATGGACTGCTGAAACAGCACTCTGAGTCTGTATTCTAGAATTTGAGAGCATTGAAAAAAATAATGAGGCAAAGTGGTCCATCAAGACTGCACTTAGATGCTCAATTAGTATCAAGTTACATTGATTAAAATCGGTCACAGCCACTAGTTCCCCTTAGAAGACAAAAATCAAACTTACGGTTTTATCTATATAGCATACAACTACTAGTACAAAAAGCATAAACCTTCTATTGGTACATGAAAATGCTCTTACACCAGTTTCAATTCTAATCCAAGTGAAAAGCATGCTTAATTAAAGCAGGATATGGTTGTAATTAATAATTTGACATTTTTACCAGCTAGCTTCCCATTTCCACATTGTGTGATAAACAGCAATTGTGTTGCTTAATGTCTGGAGAAAAAGCCTTATCTACTAATCCAATTTTAATTTCTGCAATGCAAAGAATCATCCTCCCCAACCAATCCCTCTCCTGTATTTCTTCTCTTCCAGAGAAGAATAAGTATAAAACATAGTTGAATGATTAACTTATAACTGCTGGGCTATATATTTATTAATCTCAAGCAAACAAGGGTCACATTATGACTCAAAATAATATAACATACAGGCAAAACATAAAATAAATAAACAAACTGAAGATAATATACATAATTATCAACTTGAATTTCTCCCTCAAGCTGATATCATAATTATCTAAAAGGGAAAAAAACTTGATCAATGCTTTTAACAAACAGATCGTTAGATTTATATCCTCAATTTCATTCAATATTTTATTAACCAAAAAAAACAAAATAAAATTGCAATTCCAGATGAGATGAAACTTGAATCAAAAGAAGAGGCGGATTGATAATGAAAAAGTTACTCTGGAAGGAGACGGAAGGCTGAGAGAGTGTCTTGGAAAATGATGGCTTGCAAATTCTTGGGAAATTGATGATAAGCCTCTCTCAGAATAAAGCTTAGCTCTTTGCACGCAATTGGGTATTTGTAGATTTTTGGTAGAGACTCGATTAGGCCAAGTTTTTGGTACCTCTCCAATGGGGTTGACATGATCTGAATTGAAGAAATTTCCTTCCGTAGGTGCAGAGGATCAAACACTATTGGTCTTCGTTGACAAACATTGGAATGGATTTAGGAGAGAGATAAGAGAGAGAAAGAAATTGAACATTCTGGTTCTGAACCTATTATTGCTGATTTGAGGACCAAATCAAACACCGTTGAACTTTTAAATTTATTTATAAATTAATAAGTAAGATAAATTATGTATAAAAATAATAATATTTTAAGTATTTCAATGAAAAACAATTCAGTTAAATAAATTTATTTTACTTATGTCTTATAGTCGAGACTATTTAATAATTTTTTAATTATTATATAAAATCTTAAAAAAAAAACCCGATATAAATAGTATTTTTTTTTGCTATGAAATGACTATAGTAGTAGCAAACAAATTAGGGAAAAATATTTCTCATTTTAAATGATATAATACTCTGTCCTTTTAAGAGAGACAGACACAGAAAAATAAATTTTATTTAAATTTTAAATTTAAAAAAATCACTCACTTTCTCTCTCTCATAATTTTTATTTTTCTATGTATGTCTTTCTCCTAAAATGACATAATTTATGTCATAAAATGACAAACACCAAACCCAACAAATTATACCTATAAAGGCCAAAGTTAAACTCATGAGAAAATTATTAATTGTGGAATTTGATTTCACTGTAATTAACACATCAATAGCTGGGGATATATTATTATTTTTTTTGGAAAAGATAATAGTAAAAATACGTGACATTAAATACTATTAATCAAGACATCAATGAAATATCAAAAGGTAGACAAAAACATATCTAAAAAATTGCGAAATTCTAAGCACAAATTTAGTTTTACCAATATTCCCCCTTCTACTTGTATAAAAAAATTCCCTTTTACTAAGCTTTTATGGAATAAATCAAACCCGTAAACTTCATAAAATTTAAAAAATAATTCTTTCACGAAATTACTTTATTCGTATAATATAAATCAGACGGTCTTTTTAACATATATTATATAATTTATGAGACTTCAATTGCCATCATAAAATCAGCTTGGATCCTTCATAGTGGGAACGTCTCTAATATTTGATACAACCATTTTGGAATTGTGATTATTGATAATATTGGCTCTTGTGCAGATCAACTGTCATATAATTTCAATACTTGAATATTCTTTTAGCATTACCCTTTTTCCATGATAGTATCAACTGTCCTATGCAAGACAATTCACTTAAAAGATTGAACCAAATTCTACAAAAGCAATGCAAGCAAAGCTACACTATCATCAATGTACAAAATTCTACTGTCGGAGCGATATTCATATACAGAATTCTACGCTATCAATGTCAATGTACCAATGGATCAGTGTAAACTTGTGCGTGCTTTGAGTTCAATATCCAAAACCAGCTTTGCACAATCTAAATAAAATAAGCGCGCAGCTGTTTATTGATCCTTGAATCTCCTACTCCATATACTAACCAGAAGGAATTAGAGTAACCAAGAAAATGAACCTTAAGATCACTTCAACCTCTTAGAATTCCTCAATATTAAGGAAGTTAGTTATTTTTAATATAAACTATATAGTGCAAGGTAAAGGCACCCAAATCAAGAACACTATAGCCATTGAAGTGAATGATTTTTTAGTCCAACATACCTGTCTCTTTGCCAGTCTCATGTCTTCCATGTTTGAAAGCTCCGGGTAATCACTTGGTCTTCTTCATCTTCTGAGATTTGAACTTCTCCCTCGTTTTCCTGAAATAAGATGCAATGCTCATTACACAGCTATACAGAAAATAACAAATACACATTAGACAGAGATCATTTTACAGTTCAAATTATTAGAAGCGATTTGGTAACTACCAGAATCCAACCTCTCCTGTGTAATAGCTCCCTAACAGGTTCATAAGCAGCATTTCTGCACAATCTCTGATCACAGAAACTAATCTCAAACTTGAAGGAATTAGAGTAACCGAGAAGATGAACCTTAAGATCACTTCCACTATATCCACCTCTCATGATTGAAAGCTCTTTGAAGTTAGATTTTCGTGTTTTTCCTTAGCCAGGAGAGATTGAAATATCTTTACCTGTTCTTAGTAGATGGAAGACCAACCATGATCTGCTCAGCATTGCAATGAACAGGAGATGTCATTGATAAATATCAAAAACAATAGTTTATAACTGAGCAGAAGCTGACAGCTAAACAACAAAAGTGTGATCCTACCTTTTATAATTGCTTCACCAAGGTAAAATGGCCTGTTGGTTGCTATCAACATCTTCAACAAAAATAATAGTTGGCAATCGTTGCTGCACTGTAAACAGAGCTCGGACATTCATTACATCTTGGTTATTATACCAATGTGAAGTGACGATGGATTTTGACACAGAATTAAACTTGCTCCAGTTTCATTTGCATTTGTAATTGCCTCATGATCATGGCTCTCCAAACCTTTGAGTAAAATCCTTGTGCTATAAACTTCAAAGGAGGGCTTCTGAAGCATTGTGATGATGTAGTGCTTTACAGACCTAATGGTATAGGAAAAACAATGCTTACAAAGGCAATTGTAAATGAAACTGGAGCAAATTTAATTCATGTGTCAAAATCCATCATCACTTCTCTTGCTTTCTTGATTTCTGGATTTTCTCGTGTTACTCCGATAATTTTCTCAGACTTTCTTTCTCTCTTTGTTTTATCGATGATTTTATAAGTTTTATGAATAAACAGGGCACCTTTATATAGTCGCAATGGGATTTCAACGGTAACTTGATTTATTTTTACATTGTTATCCCTCGTAAGGAAACCTAATTACATTAATACCAATCAAGTTTCTTACCGTTGCCTTTCCAAATTCATGGTTTGGATTTAGGTCCTTTTTGGATATTAAATAATTATTATTATTTAAAAAAGCAATATGCTTTTTTTTTGGATTTAATGATTTTTTAAAATTATGCCGTACTCGTGTAAAGAATTACATTATACATAATGTAAAGTAAATATTTGCATAGAAGCATTCGGGCTAAAGGTATAAAGAAAATGCATGCATGTGAAAAATAATAGAATTGTTATATATATTCTTTTTGGCTTTTTGACCCTTTTGCTCTTCATTAATTAATTAACAACCATTTTGCCCCTTATCCAAAACTATCTACAAATCTGTCACTCTTTAATCGATTAACTTGAAGATTTAATCGATTAAATGGTCAAAACTGACAAAAATGATTGACTTGAAGATTTAATCGATTAAATCTTCAAGTTAATCGATTAAATCTCCCTCTTAATTGATTTAATCGATTAAAAATTATATTTAATCGATTAAATATCCCCAATGAGTGTGAAAGCATTGATTGAATGAGACAAACACGGTATTGGAAGTTAATTGAATTTTGAATTTTGAATTTAATGTAATAAGAGTTGATTGCGATTTGTATTTAATAAGAGCTAATTGTGTTTTGTATTTAATAGGAGCTGATTGCGTTTTGTATTTAATAGAAGCTGATTGTGTTGTATTAAGAGTTACCATTTTACGAGTTGGTTACAGAGTGTCACCAATTCAAATTTATTTGTAATTTGTTGCCTGTTACCCATAAATAGGCTCAGAATAACAAATTATAAATAAATTTGAATTGGTGATAATCTGTAACCAACTCGTAAAATGACAACTTCTAATAAAAAGCAACCAGCTTCTATTAAATATAAAACACAATCAGCTTCTATTAAATATAAAACACAATCAGCTCCTATTAAATACAAAACACAATCAACTCCTATTAAATACAAAACGCAATCAGCTTCTATTAAATACAAAATGCAATCAACTCCTATTACATTAAATTCAAAATTCAAATAGCCTCCAATACCGTGTTTGTCTCATTCAATCAATGCTTTCACGCTCATTTGAGATATTTAATCGATTAAATATAATTTTTAATCGATTAAATCAATTAAGAGGGAGATTTAATCGATTAAGAGGGATATTTAATCGATTAAATCTTCAAGTCAACCATTTTTGCCCGTTTTGAAGATGTAATCGATTAAATATTCAAGTTAATCGATTAAAGAGGGGCAGATTGGTAGATAGTTTTGAATAAGGGGCAAAATGGTTATTAATTAATTAATGAAGGGTAAAAAGGTCAAAAAGCCTATTCTTTTTAGTTTGTTATATAAATTATGGGTTTTGTGTTTGTCATTTTAAACGACATAAGTTATGTCATTTTAGGAGAGAGATAGACACAGAAAAACGGAAATCATGGGAGAGAGAAATTGGGTGTTTTTTTTAATTTTAAATTCAAATTTTCTGTGTCTGTATCTCTTTTAAAATGACATAACTTTCTGTCATTTAAAATGTCAAACACTTTTCCCATAAATTATCATTAGGGAAGATCACATTTATCCACATTAATGAATAAACGAAGTTGCATTTTGCAATCGGGCTTATAGAACAAGTGATTATGTGCAATTTCGTTATTTTTCGAATGATGAAGCATAAATTTATTACAGTATCCATTTATATTATAAGAAATTTACCATACCCCTGATTGTCATAACATAACTTACCCGTACATTGTCGATGCTTATGAACAAAAATTAACGTCTTAGATAAAGAGTTAATTTTACACCGGAATAAAGAAATTGATACGTGCAAGGACACAAGAAGCAGTGAGCCAAAGAAAATAACCAGAGAAAGGATTCCCTCATCAAGGCTTAAAGACTTTTTGTGTTAAAGACACGTGTAGGTTCTTTGAAGATTTAGAGACAGATGTAGGAAATATAGAAAGGAGAATTAGAATAGACACACGTGTAAGTGTGGGAAGGATAGGATTTGTATAAAAGGGAAACAAAAGACCTTAGTTTGGTATTGATTGATTGTTGTAAACAAATACTACACCTTGAATAAAATTCGTATCTCACTCTGTTGCTCAGAGTTTTTGCCCATTTTTTGTATCTCTTTGGGTCTCTCTTCCCTGTTGCTCAGGTAGAGTCCAACACTGGTGCTTTCATTCTTGTTCTCTACTCACGATGCGGGTTCAGGATCTGGCGGATGTAGTTGCATCCTTGCAACAGCGTTTCGATGATTCACAAAATCAAATCTCGCTTATATTAGCGCAGATGCAGCAATTGAACGAATCAATGGGGGTTCTTCATTCTA